GGAAGAGGGAGTAGCTATAACTAATTAAGACCAAACACCTCGTACAATCTTTCCCTCTAGGCAGCACGAAACAAAGCCTGTCTGATAGGCAGTCACTCCCCAGACCCGTTCGGGTTCGGCCAGCACTGGGGTGAGAGGAGGAGGCTCAGGAGAAGCGGGGCACCCAGCCCTGGGGGAGGAGTGGGCCCTCAAAGAGAAGGGAGAAGCCTGAGGGCTCCAGCCCCCTCGCGCTCAAGCCGCACCTCTCCCAGCGGGCGATAGGGGCTGGACCCTCCAGCTGTTGGCCTCTGAGGGGCTCCCACCGTGGCTCCAGGCCCCTCATCTGAGGGCACCGGCTCCACAGCAAGGGAAAGACTTTTCACTTAGTGAAATTTGAAGGCGTCTGCAGAGGGGCTACTCCGCAGGGGAGCTTCGTCCCCAGCCCAGCACACCACCAGTCCTCCTTTCCTGCCTTTTCCTGTAAGAACAGTTGCCGGAGCTGAGGGAAACTGATTGTTAAGTGAAACTCTCTGATAATTGCCTCTGAAATGCCTGCTGTTCCTGTGATGGACTTGGCCGTGAGCAGCCCTGCTCAGCGGTCCCACCATGGTTCCCTCCAACGCCTTGGCCACGATGGGGACATCTCGGGCCAGGCCAGCCAACACCAGCAGCTCTGCAGCAGGGTCAGTGTCACCCTCATGGGCCGCCCTAACCCTCCACGATGTGATGAGGAAAAGCGGCTGAGAGAGGTTAAGCCACCCACCTGGGGTCACACAGCTGGCTGGCAGAGCCACACTCCTGCCCGGGTCTCCGTCCAGGTTCAGAGATACTCTGACCTTCAGTTCGTGGATGTTCACTGTGCACCTACTGTGCGCAAGGGGCCAGGTTATTGTAAAGCTAACAGCTGCCAGATACGGCCCTCACCAAGCTCAGAGCCCAAGGAAGAAAGCAAGGAGATGTGATGGGGACAGATGGGGGCTTGGCAGAGGTCAGGGAGTGGTTAGGAGGAGGAGAAGCCTAGGCTAACACCTCAAGGGTGAGGGAACGAACCCGCTGAGGAGTCTAGTGATGAGACACAAAAGCAGAATGTGCAGGGGCCTGGTAGCAGGAGAATCAGAGGCTGCCGGTGACTGAGGGGCGAGAATAGAGCACGTCTCCCCCCAGACAGGCAGTATCTTGGACATGGGACCAAGCCGCGGGCCCACCCACAGGTGGTTCTGTCTTCAACTCTGGGCCTCAGTTTCCTTCCCCATCCTGCCTGCGCGGAGGCCATCATAAGGAGCCAGGAGAAGTAGAGGGGATGCGCTAGGAGGATGAACCTTAGGGCAGGGTGAGGCTGCGAGCACATCTTCCAGACAGCCTTGAGCAGGGCTGTGGGCTCTGTGGAGACGGGAGCCCAAGGCTCTGAGTGCCTGACAGGGTAGGGGAGCCCGGGGACTGGGCAAGGGCAAAAGGAGGCGTCCAGGGGAGGTGACAGTCTGATAGGGCTGACTTAGGTGATAGGGAGCACGTCCCAGGCAGAAGGTGGATAACAGAGGAAGACCCAGAGGTGGGCAAGAGCCTTTCGTGCTTGGAGACAGCAAGAGACACCCCAGGGGACTGGTCCCTCTGGGCAGCTTCTGGGGGTCGGAGCAAGGGGGCTGCCAAGAACCTACTCACCCTCTGAGTGGGTACAGTTCCTATCCCCAATTTACAGACAAGACATTGAGGGCCAGCAGGGGAAGGCACTTACTCAAGAAAGCCAGGATTTGAACCCAGGCCCGGGCTCCGAGGCTCCGGGAGTCCAGGCTCGGATCGCTGCTTGGGGCCCCTCAGGCATGCCAGTGGGCCTCTCCCCTCACCCCCTCAGACCCGGTGGGACCTCCAGCAGCCACAGCTTGCCCCTTCCCCCCCCATTCCGCTGCCTCCACCCTTCCACCGGGCCTGTGTGTTTAGCAGTTTCCACACGTCCAGCGCCCGGGGATGGGCTGATTGATCTGTAACACCGAACAAATAATAATGGCTTGATCGTTACTGAGGATTAAACATAATCCTTTTGCTGTGGCTATTGCGGCTCCGTTATTCATGAGTCAGCGGGCTGACCCGGGCCTTCAAGCCCCTGGGACTTCGAGGAGGCTAGGGGCCAGGGCCCCCCTCCCTGGGTCTCCCTCACCGTGGCCGCTCCGCCAGGGAGCCCTGGTCCTTGGGCCCGTGCATCCCGTGGATGGAGCTGAGCCCTGAGAGGCCGAAGCAGCCGGCGCCCCTGGCCGGCGGGGAGCTGGGTGCAGGAGAGGCCGGCTCCTCGAGGCTGCGGCCCAGCTGGAGACTTCAGCTGGTGTCAGTTTGGTGTTTGCAGCCCCATGAGCCCTGGGACTTTCCTGAGGCAGGAGGCCTGATCTGGTTATCCCCACGCCCCGCCCTCGCCTCATCCCCTGTGAAGGGCAGCGGCCTCAGTGGAGCCCCACGTGGGCTTCAGGCCCCCTCTGAGAAAAGTCTGGGGTCCCCAGGAAGGTAGCAGGCCACTGGGGAAGGAAAAGGGGCATGAAGAGATTGCCCAAGGCTCACCCCTCAAGGTGCGGCCCCACGGGCTGCCCCTAGGCTTCTCGCACTCTCATCCAGCCCAGGTGCTCAGCTAGCACAGGAGTGCTCAGTTAACTGCAATAACAAGTGTTGTGTGTGCATATCACATAGCGATGTCCTCTGCAAAAGAACGCTGCAGCCTTGCGAATCAGGGGCCGCACGCATCCTGGGGGTCGGGGTCAGGGGAGGGGTGTTTGTAGTTTAGGCTGAGAAGAGGCCCCAGGGGGAAGCGCAGGTGGACCCCTCGGGACCTCAAGAAAGCTGATGAAGGGCTTAGGGGCAAAGGGTGGCCACCAGATTGGATCCACATTTGGAGAATAGATGACAAAGGGCGAGAGAGGACACAGGAGCCTGAGGAAGGACAGTAGGTGATCTGAGTGATAGCACGGGTAAGATGTAGGTGGCAGGGGTCTAGCATGGATGGGTTCATTCCAAGAGGGGACAGGATGCGCTCCAGTGGGCCTGAGGGTCACCCCAGGAAGGTGTCCAGGACCCCAGGAGGGGCCGGGGTTGGAGGCAAGGTATGGGAGGTGTCTGGGAGTATAGAGGCCTGTGGTCCCCGAAGCTGGGTCGGGGGGTGGGGTGGGCCGCCCCAAGCAGGCATTGCATAACAGGTGGGCAGAGAATAGAACCTACAAAGATCAGGTGGGGTAGCAGGAGAGGGAATTGGAGGCCAGGAGGGGCCCAACATTGTGAAGTGAGGGGGTTGGACAAGAGAGACTTTCCTACCCTGTCCCCAAGACCCCCAGCCTTACAGTCTTCCCAGCATTCATTGTTCTTGGCCTGAGGAAGAGGGGGAGCTAGGCCCAATGGGAGTGAGGATGGTCCTGGTCAGTCCCTCTAACTGCCCGAGGTGACATCCCGCCCCAGAGAACACAGGCCATACCCCAGAGAACATAGGCCATACCACCCTGTTCCATGCTGGGAGGGAAGAAAACCAGTCTCCTGAATCCCGACCCCCATTTCCCCCTCATGGGCAGCTGCCAGGCTCTGGAAGAACCTCCCCTCTGGGGCCCACATGCCACCCCAGGCCTGGACTAATGGGTGGGAGTGTGTGTCCTAAATACCAAGAGGCCAGGGCCTTCTGAGTGAGGGCTGGAGGCCAGAAGGCAGGACCCACTGCTCCACCCATGGGATGGAGTGGGGCAGGGGTGGAAGACCAGAGCCCCTCCCCAACAAGAGTTGCCCTGTCCCTCACCAGGCATGGTGGGCCCATGGAAGGTGCCTTCAGACCTTGGTCATGGGCTGGGCCAGACTCAGGGCCCCAGCCTGACCCACGCCGTGACCTTGGGAAGGCTGCTTACTGCCTCCATGCCTGGGTCTCCTCATCTGAGGAAGACATGTCAGGCATGAATGGAGACAGCTACACATGATGTGTCACTGGCCTGGTGGCAGGCTCGGCATGCGGCAAGTGACCAGTTCGTGGTGACAGTTGTCAATATGATTAACAGGACTTCACTACACTCAGCTCTGCGGGAGGCCCCAGAGGGCCATCTTTAGGAGTCCCAAGAGTTCCTGGAGGGACAGGATCCACAGAGTCGCAAAATAAGAATCTCTGGGCAGCCGGGGTTCAGGCCCTGAGGGTGGCGGAGTACCAACATCTCCTCCAGGAAGCTCTCCCCGATGCCCCAAGTTCCCATAGCACTAAGCTTCCTCGAAGCACTTCAGCTTCTCCTGCTCTGGTGGTTCTACCCAGTTTTGTGTCTGTTTCCTCCTCTAGACTGTGAGAGGGCAGGGCTGGCCCACCACATCTCCGCACATCAGCACGGTCTGGTGCCAGGCATGGCGGTAACAGGGTGTGGGATAGAAGGACTGCTCACACACAGAGGGGCCGTGATGGAGGAGAGTGCAGGAACCAGCCCCGAGGGATGGCCAGGCTTGTGTGGACAGAGGCTTGGAGAGCCATGCTGGGAAGGGGCCCAGGAAGCTGGGACAGGGACAGTGGTAGTGGGCCTGGGTGTGTGAGATGTGCTGAGGGCACCTCCTGCCAAGCCCTGAGCAGCTGGTGGCAAAGACGCATCAGCAAGGCACGCCTGTCCCTTGTGGCAGTTCACCCTTGACTAGGGAGGGCCTCTTCTTGGCACTGGCGTGACACTGGTTTGTCCGAGGTAGAGGGGCAACGGGGCTTGACTCCAGGGCCTGGGTCCTACTGCGTCCTGGGGGCCCCCCCTGCCATCCTGTGGGCAGGAGATGTGGGGGGCTGAAGTACAGGGAGTCCCATGGAGATGCCACTCAGGTCACTTTGTGCAGGCTTCACCTGTCCTATGTGAACCCAGCTGTGGGTGGGGGAAGGGCCCACACAGCAAGCTGGGAAAGGTCTGGGGCCAAGGAATCCCGGAGGAGGCAGCATGGGGCAAGGGAGTCCCTGAGCCAGCCTGGCTCCAGGGAGCACTAAGGATGGAGAGGGCTGGGGCTGGGCATGGGCCTTCCTCAGCCTCTGACCTCCCTGTGCTCTGTTCCTCAGAGATTGGCCGACGCCGCAGAGAACTTCCAGAAAGCCCACCGCTGGCAGGACAACATCAAGGTAAGAACTGCAGTGCCCGCCCCAGCCCGCATGACCTGCCCACCCCCAGCAAGGGTAGATGTGAATTCGGGGGAGGGGGCGCTGCCCAGACTCACTGGAGGAGCACCGAGGGCTCTGTGGAGGGGAGCCTGGAACCTTAGTCCAGCCTTCAGCAAACATTTGAGGCTCCCCTCAGTGCTGGGACACAGGGTGCAGATATGAACCACTCACTTCACCCTAGAGGAGCTGTGGGGTCCCCCAAGGGCAGACAGGCCACTCTAAAGTGATGCTCCCCAAAGTTGGTGTTGCCTTGGAGGTTAAGGGTGTGCCCAGACTCTGGAGAGACCCTAGGGCAAAGAAGTCCCTTGACTCCAGGACCTTTCAGACTGTAATACACTGACCTAGAAGAGTCACTGCCAAAGGGGGACTCTGTCCCCTTCCTGGGACTTCCCTGAACAGCAGCCTGTCTTCCAGGAGGCTGTCTGACTGGGATCAGGGACCATGCTTGTGACAGCCACAGAAGCCTCTCCTTCCACCAAGAGAGCTCAGAAGGAGCCCAGGTGCCAAGGGAGTGGAGGGGTGAGAAGGTGGTAGTAGGTCTCTTCTTGAGGGCAGAAGGGCCCAGAATGTGGGGGAAGGAAGGGAACCCTCATTGACTGCCAGTCTCAAACACAGGTGGCCCTCACAAATGCAGGCAGCTGTGTTTGCTTTGGCGCGGGGGGGGCTGGACACACCTGCACCCTTTCCATCAGGCCAGCATCTCAGAGGGTCTCAGTAAGCCAGAAGGTAAACTGAGACAGGCTTCCTCCCAGACCCAGGGAACCCCCAATGCCAGGGATGATGGAACCCTCAGGGACCAGGCCAGTTAGCAGGGCTCGTGTGTCCTCCACAGCTGCCCAGGCATCTGAGCCATGCCTCCCGGGGGTCTCTGTGCTACCCACGGGGAGAGGCGCCAAGGGCTGCCTGCGGAGACCCGGGGCCTAATAAGGTGGGGTAGGCCCTTGCCGCTCCAGCTCTGGGTCTTGCACATCTGGCGGGCCGGTGGATTATTATCCCTACTTAAACTGATAAGAACACTGAGGCACAGGGTGGTTAGACCTACCTGAGGCACCTGCTGGTGGCAGAGATTCACAGCCAGGCTGTCAGGTCCCAGGGGATTCATGCCTATGATCCAGGCCCCCTGAACCTGTCTGCTCCTCATCCCTGGCCTCCATCCCGCCAGGCCATCCTGAGTCCTGCCCTGCCTCGCCCACCCCATGGCATCCTTCCTCTGCTTCCTGGTCAGTGCTGGGTGCTACCCTCAGGGAGCTCAGGTGGGATTGGAGCTAACAGGTGATTGTTTATAGTGGACACATAAATGAGTGGATGACTCCTTGGACAGACCCCGCCTCCCCAGGAGCTCAAGACTCACCCTTCTCTCTTCCTCCCTTTCCAACACCACCACCCATCCCCGGGTCCCCGTGCCTCCTCAGCCCCTTGATCAGAAACAGCATGGTGGCGGTGCCCCCACCCACCACTCAGATCACGCTGCCACCAATAAAACAGCACCCGCCCGGGCGAATCCTCTTCAAGGTCCAGCCCTGATCTGGCTGTTCCTGCCTACCTTGGCCACCTCATTCCTCACCCACCTCCCCCTGTGCCCCAGCCATGCTGAACACCTCACTCCAGGCCCATTCCTGATCTCTGCCCGAATGCCTTCTGTTCCTCCCGGCGGCCCGGCTTGTCTGTCCCTTCCCAGTGAGGCCACCCCCATGGCACAGTCCATCAGCCCCTCCAGCTTCTGCCCATCCAGGACCCCACCACCCCCCCACACCTCCCCTACTCCGGCCCTTCCTTTGTTCCTGACATATCTGCGTCCTCTCTCCCTACCCAGGACCGTGTGCAGAGCTGACACGGGACAGTGAGTGAAGGAACAGGGAACAAGGGAATGAAAAGACCCGCCCTCAGCCTGGTTTTCTCTCCCTCCCAGTCCAGGCCCCAGACAAGAAGACAAAGAGGCCGCCTTAGCCCCAAACCTATTTTCTTTTCCTGACTCGGCAGAAAACCCAAAATTTACAAGGATCATCCAGCCAGACTCCTGACCCCTGATTTTCAGCTACTCCCTGAGGCAGGAATAGCTTACCCCAGGCCAGAGTGGGCACCATGGGGGCCTGCCAGGAAGGGGGACCAAGGTCTCAGGGGCATCCGGGAATGCTGAGACAGGTGATGCTGGAGACAATGTGCTCCCTGCACACCGAGTCCCCACGGGGCCCTGCAAGGGTTTGCCCCTCTCTGGGCTCCAGTTTCCCCATCTGGCAAAGGACTCTGGTGTTTGATGCTGCCTGCTGGCCCGGGCCTGGTGTGCGAAAGGGCCACTGCACACATCAGGGCATAGAGATGCCAAGGTGGTGAGAGTGTAGGGCGTCTCCGGCCCTGCGCGCTCCTGTCCTGAGATGAGGCAGGAGTGGGCTCTGGCTGGCCCCCTCCCCTCGACACGACCTGGGAGGCCCCCAGCTGTGGAAGTGACCACCGGGCCTCCCCCTCAGTCCGTCCAGCTGTGCGTCTGTCTGTATCTCGGGCAGGGCGGAGCTAGATCACCCCCTCCTTCCCAGCTGTAGGGTCAGGGCCCCGCTCTTCCCCAGAAGCCCTGCAGTCACCCTGCTGCCTGGCTGAAAGGCATCAAGGCTTACGGCGGGCCCATTAGCTGGCTCGCCAGCCTGCCCTGAGTGGGGGGGGGAGTGGGGGGGGCGCTGGCGGCAGCTGCAAGTGGGGACTGTGCATGCCAGGGTGATACGGGGCCTTGAGGCTGGGAAAGGGATGGCGTCTTTGTCGCTTGCAGGCATACCACCCACTCTTGAGACCATGTCCTTCCCAATGACCTTCAGGAGGTACAGATAAGGAGCGTGTTCCTCCACGGGGCACTCTGGAGAGCCGCAACGCCAGTGTCAAACTCAGGCCCTTTACGCAAGCCGGGCCTTGGCCCAGGAATGCCCTGCCCTCCTCCTTCAAAAGGGCAATGCCTCTCCCGCTCCAGTTAACTCCCTAGGGCTCCTCTTTCTGAGTCCCAAGCCCGGGATTGGCCCCCACGGCCCCCAGCATCCATCTCGGGAGCCCCCAACACTGGCAGTTCCCAGTGCAGCCTGCCCCAGGCCAGTATCCCAGTGGACTCATCTGTCCGCCCCACTCAAGACTCCTCTAGGCCAGAAGCAGTCGGACCTGCTTCAGTGTTGTCCACCATCTGTCCATGTGCCCAGCCGAGTGCCCTGTGGATAGGTTGGCCGAGAGCAGCTGGGCCTCGGTCTTCTTACCTCTGAGATGGGAGAATGGCACCCGGCAGTTCTGGGCACAGAGGAGATGCTTGGCACATGGAATCCACTGTGTGATCAGTAGGGTATGGTCCTCCCTATGCCAGCGGCACACAGTAGGTCTACATGCAGACCTCTGAGGAGTGGACAGTGGTATAGTACATCCACACACACACACACCACCAACGCCAGCCCAGGCACTTGGGGGATCCTGGGGTCGACAGGCTCAGAGACGGCGCGCGAGAGAGAAAGAGGTCTGGACATGAAGGCCCCCTGTTCCCCTCTTAGTCTCAGGCCATGACCCCACACACTGGCTGTGGCAGATGCAGGGAACCCCAGCCTGGCCACAGCCCTTGGACCCCCGGGAAACCATGGCCCCTGTGAGAGGCAGCACGTCCCCTGACCCCGCAGGCAGGCAGCAGGTGCTCTGGTGCCCATAACACTTAGGGGAGATGAAGATGGCCCGCCTGCTGGACACCGTGCCTGGCCCAGCACCACACTGTGCCGGCATTATCTGCTGTCTGGACCACCACCAGGGAGGAGCTGGGCCAGGGCATGGGTGGAAGAGGCAGAAGAGGCCATTGGCCGCAGGGCCTCAGTGCCAACACCTGGCCCTGCAGGGGACAAAGTGCTGCCCTGGGAGTCTAAGGGAGGAAGCAGTCCTACCCTGGGGAGTCTGAAGCGGGAGACACAGCCCTACCCTGGGGGGTCTGATGGGAGAGGTAGCTCTGTCTGGGAACCTAAAAGGAAGACTGTGAAGGCTGGACCAGGCCAGAGGAGCCGGCTGGACAGGACAGGTGGCCTCCCCGGCCTGAGGTCTGCCCCAGCCATCAGGCCTGCTGCCTGCCTCTCTGCCAAGCCAGCGACAGACGGCTCTCTCAGAAAACAGTCCTTTTGGCTGAGCTGAGCTGGCCATGGGCCAGGGCAGGAAGGCCAGTCATCCTCACTGTACCCCATAGTACCAGACATAGGCACCAACTGCTATTCCCCATGCTTACCCCATGCTCACCTCCTCGCCCTGTTTCCCACCTGCCGGCACCCCTCGTGTTCTCTCTTGGGCTCAGCTCCAGCTAAGGAGAGGGTATGTGTCGTCTGTACAAAGGCCATGTGGGCCCCCCAGCCCCACCCTTCATGTGTTATCCGTCATACAGAAATCCACAAGGGGGAGAAATGTGAGTTCAGAAGGGTGATTCCCCCTACCCCCTGCCAAGTTTGAGCAAAATGGCCCCTAAAATAGCAGAAGGGGGCATTGGGTGTGGACCCCAGACATTAACAATGCCCATTTCTCCCCAACCAGAGGGTTTCCTCCACCCTCCGGCCCCTCCCAGGACTGGAGTTGCAAACATAAGGGCCCCCACAGGTAGGGCTGGCCCCAGCGCCTGGAGAGGCCCAGCTCCCTGCCTCTGTAGGGCATCTTCATCCCACCTTTGTAAGTGGGAAATCAAGACCCTGAAGGAAAGCCTCACCGAGGCTACAGGATTTAACAGGCACCCTTGCCTCCTTGATGAGATGGGAGTGACCCCCAGGAGTAGTCCTGGGGCCACTGGGGACTTCGGAGGCTTCAGGCTCAGTCTTCACTCACCATCCGGGATCCCAGAGCACGCATGTTCAGGTCAGGATTTGAGGCCAAGACCCTTTGCCAAGGCCCCTGCGTGCAATCGCTAGGCACCACGTCCTTGTGGTCTAACCACGGCAGGACAGTAATGGTGGACACGGGGCACTGGGCAGACCAAAGCAGACGCAGAGGCCTTTCCAGTGATCCCCCCCAACTCCAACCCTGATGGCCCCATTCTGTCACACCCCCAGCTCCACACCGCATCAAGCATAGAGACCACAGCTGTGTTTACAACGTGTTTTCACACATGTGACCTTGCCTGCCACCATCCCATGCTAATCCTCTCTGTACCAAGGAAGGGGCCTGGCCTGGCCCTTTCAAGGTAGGAGAGGTAGGGACAAGGACCCTGGGGGACAAGGACCGCATACAGATTCCTGAGCTTCACCCATTGTCTGCAGGGCACTGGCATCCTCTTCTATGACACATTTCCCCTGTGTCACTGATGCCACCAGCATCTGATCCTCTGCTGAGACCATGAGACTGCAGGACAAAAAGACAAAGGGAGCCGTGGGGGCAGCTGCCCAGGGGTGGCCCGAGTGCAGGCAGGACCCAGCCCGGCCTGTGAGAAGGGCGTGTGTCTCCTGGGGGCCCCAGAGTTACCGACCCCCACCCGTGCCCTTTCCTGTCCTTGCAGGAGGTTTGCCTAAAAAGTTGGCCAGTGAGGGACGCCTGGGTGGCTCAGTCGGTTAAGCGGCTGCCTTCGGCCCAGGTCATGATGCCAGGGTCCTGGGATCGAGTCCCACATCAGGCTCCTTGCTCAGCAGGGAGCCTGCTTCTCCCTCTCTCTCCCTCTGCTTGTGCTCTGTCAAATAAATAAAATCTTAAAAAAAAAGTTGGCCAGTGAAGCCCCATGTTCTAATCTGCAGTCGTCCCACCACGCCCGCCTGTTTTCATTACGGAGGGAAAGAGCATCAGAGCCGTGTTTATAACCCCCTTTTAGATAACAAATCACATTTTCTTTTTGCCAGCGAGTGTGTTGAATTGATATTTTTTCCCCTCGGTTTAATGGGTTTGTGTGTTCAGGAATGATCTTCATCAACCGAAACTCCTTATTGTGTTTGATATAATGTCAGCTTTCATTATGTGCTTTGGTTGGAGCCGGGCGCAAGGGAAGGCCGAGCACCCTGGAACCTGGGCCCCGGCCCCCGGGCCCCGGCCCCCACCCTGCACCCACCTGCGCTCCAGTCCTCCTGCCCGGTGGGTGGTGTGGCAAAGGTTGGAGATGCAATGGGAAGGCGGGTTGGAGCGTGGGTGCGAGGCCTCTCTTACCCCTGCCGTGTCCTCATCTGTATGAGGGGGAGGGTCGCAGGGCTCCCGGAGGAGCCCCGTAAACCCAGCATGTGTGAAGCGCTGGACGCAGCAGATGCCTCTGGTGACCGAAGCAATCAAGTCGCTTCCGGTCTTCCATCCATCCAGCTGCTGTGGTCTTGCCCAAGCCTGGTGCCAGGCATGGAGTCGATGTTGCAGAAATGCTCAGACTGGGTTTACGGGTCCAGCCAGTGGCCTCTACCCCCCAGACCTCTGGTGGGAGACAACTCACAACTGTCCCCACAACAAGCCCCCATACTGACCACCTTAAACTACGGCCTCAGGCCCAGCACACGGGCAGTCCCCGAGGCCAAGCCCCCTCCCTGAAGCCTGAGGAGCCGGAGCTGAGAGGGAGCAGTGCGGCCCTGAGGTCACACAGCAAAGGGGTGGCCAAGGTGACTTCTGCCCCCCAGAGAGTAAATACTGGCTCTGTGCTTGCTGGGAGCACACTTGGTCAGCACCCCCATTTTCGACCACAAAGAAACAGGCTGCCAGGGCCACGCACCAGGTGTTTGCGGTACAAGACAGCACTGAGGAGCGCTAGAGGAGGGTGACTCGGACGGTGGCCTTCTCCTGTGTCCTGACCCTAGAGCCCATAGGGGCAGGAGAGGGGCCAGTGGCACTTGAGGGCACCAGATTCACCTTCTGGCGGCCTCTGTCAGCCATGCTCAGTTCTGATTAAAGATCATTAAACATGAAATTAGCCCATTTGTGTTACGGGTCCCCGGGGTGGCCGGTGATTATGACGCGCAGATGGCCGAGAACCCAGGCTTCAGGCAAGCGAGCGAGGCCGGGATGGGCGGGGTGCGCACCGGCAGGCCGGGGAGGCAGGCGGGGGGGGCCGGGCTTTGTTTTTTCCCCGCTCCTGTTGTGTAAACCCCCTTGCATTTCACAACAAATCACAGATAATTAATAAGTACATGCCCATAATGAGCAGGCTTTTTAGTAGAAGAAATTGGAAGATGCAGTGTCGAGTCATTTCACTCTGGCCCAGACTCGGCTCTGTTTTCCCATCTTCCTCACTCCCCTGGTATTGCCTCGGCCAGAATCTCCGCACACAGGCTGGCTCTGACCCCGCCTCTCAGCGGTCCTGGAGTCAGGGAGCCCCCGGGAGGCCCCCCCAACCTGGGGCACCACATGCCCCTGGAGCCTGTGAGGGCCCCTGAGGGGGTGTCTGTCTGGGGCGGGGGTGGGCATGCCCGGCCTAATGCAGCCAGCCCTCCCCAAGGCTGCTCTGGATCCGGGTGGGGGCCTCAGGGCGGGGGCCCCGGCTGCACCTCAAGCAGCCTTGTGAGCAGCTGTGAGGGTCAAGGCCTCTCTCTCCCCCCAGGAGGAAGATATCCTGTACTACGATGCGAAGGCCGACGCTGAGCTGGTGAGTGCCCTACCCCTGCTGGGGGAGGAGAGCCACCAGAGCCCCACACTGTCCCTTGGCGAGTAGCCGCAGCTGTGAAATGGGTGTGAGGTCTCAGCGCCCTCCCACATTCTGAGGTCACCCTGCAAAGTAGCGGTGGCGCAGGCCCTGCGCCCGACCCCAGGCAGGTAGTGAGGCGCTTGGATCTCCTCCCGTGGGTCAGTCCAGGTGCCAGCATGGAGGAGGCTGGGCACTGTGGGAGCGGAGGAGAGAGGGAGCAGCGCGGAGGGCTTCCTGGAGGTGGGCAGGCAGGGCCGGGACGGGGCTGTGGTGTGACTCACGTGGTGCAGGTACCTCCGTGTGCTGAGCCCCCCGCAGCTGGCCCCACCGTCGGGGCTCCCGCCAGCTCGGTCAGGCTTGCCCCCGCTGCAGAGGCAGCCCAGCTGTGTGCCCGTTCCCCAGATGAAGGACGGGGCTCGGGCTCTGCTGGGGTCACTGGCTTGGCAGTGATGGCGCGAGGGCTCGCTGGACGGCCCAGACCCTCACTGCTCCCGTCTCAGCGCCCCTGACTGTCTCGTGGGTGTTTGGGCGCCCCGTCTCCGGAGGCCTCGCGTGAAAGCCGTATGACCGTTTTGGTAGCAGGGGACCTACAGAGGAGCCAAGAGTGTCCGAGAGGGCAGGGCACACAGAGTGCACAGTGTTTGGTGAACCTGCTAAGGCCCAAGTCCATCTGCCTGCCTTGGAGGCAAATGTAGTTGAACTTGACTATCTCCTCTGTAAACAGAGGTGTCGTAACAGCTCAGTCTCTGGGGTCCCACCTGCTCTGGCTGGGGCGGGAGACCCCAAATCCAGGGGTCCTCTCCCGGGCTCAGTGGCCGGGGGCATTTCCTGGGGTGAGCGGGAGGTAGACAGTGCCCCTGGAGGTGGGCAGGCAGGAAGGGAACCCTGCAGAGGGTCGGTGGTGCCAGGCCAGCCTGGGTGAGCCTTGAGGAGGGCAGGCGGGCAGGGGGCTGGAGAAGGAGGGGTGGGTGGGCTAAAGCAGGTGTGCTTCCCCCTTGGCTGAGCCTCCGTGGCTCCCAGAGAAGTTGCTAAAATTAAAGCTGGAATCTGAAATTCAAATGAAGAGCGAACCTTTAATTAGACCCTGAATCTAATTCCTTACCCCCCTCAGCAGCAGGCTGTAATTTTAGCAATCAGTGCATTAAATATAAACCAGGAGACTGCAGTTGCCCACCGTACAAAACCCCTGGGCATGGGGGTGGCGCCAAGAGGCTCCTTGGCTGTTCTGGTGCCCAGACCCCTGCCAGGATCCCCTGAACTCCCTGTGCCCAGGACCCCCGCCCCCTGGCTCTAAATCACTGATTCCCTGCAACGCTCCCCGCCCCCCCCCCGCCCCTCAAGGGGGTAGGGACAGCCCCAGGAGGGAGAGGCACCCTGGGTGGGGCTGGGCTAAGGGCAGGCCAAAAGCCTGGCCCTCTATAAAATTTGACATGAACACATTTGCCGACTCCCCTGCTTGTTGTGTTGTTTTATTTTTTTAATCTTTGCCAGAGGTACAGTTAGAGATCTTTCTAGACCATTTACTTTTAAATTACCAGCCAGAAGGTGGGGGTGGGGGAAAGAGAAGGAAGGAAAAAGTTCGCCAGCTGATAGCTTATCAGAACGGAATCCAAATGTCACATTAGTTGGGAAAGTTGGGAGATTAAATTTTCCAGCGCCCTTCATCTGCTGCTGACATTTCGGGGGCTTTCTCCTCCCGCACCTCCCCCTCCTGCAAGCGGAACGTGAGTGGCTCACGCCTCAGAGGCGGCAGGCTGGGTAGCTGCCTGCCCCAGCTTTACCCAGCATCCTTGAGCTTCTGAGGGTCCTCCTAGGGTGTGCCGAGGTGGGCAGAGAGTCGCACACGTGGTGAGGGGGCGAGGGGGCAAGGGGAGGGCAGCAGATGGCTTGGATTTTGCTGTACAGAATCCACCCTTGAAGAGACGCCAACGGTCCTTGCGGCAGACCCTCTCAGGGCCGTGCCGACCCCCACACAGGCCCGCCTGCTGCGGCCCCACCCAGGCAGTAATTCATTCCCCAGGCTGGAGGACAGACCCGGAGCACTCCTGGGGTGGGCAGAGCACATCTGGCTGGGTAGGGAGGCACGATCACTCTTTCCCCAGACAAGATGCAGCGGGAGGCAGGAACATAGCGGGTGTGCCCAGGACCCAATGAGCAGTGGGGTCTGCAGAGCCACAAGGGGGTGGAAATGAGCTGAGCCTGGTGTTGACCGTGATCACACGGGTTGAGAGGCAGTGAGGGGGCATGCAGATGGCCCAGCTGCTTACACCCCTTCCTCCGGGGGCACAAGGCCCCCAGCTCTGCCCCTGCCCTGCCTTGGTCTCCATCCCTCCTTTCCTCCCCGTCTGGCTCTTCCCTGCCTTCCTCTTCACTCTCTACCACCATCTTCCCCTCCCCCTTGCACACCTGCACCCATGCCTGCCCACCCCCCCCACCCCACCCCCGCCGCTCGGCTACGGCATCAGCGCTGTAGCGACAGACCCGTTCCTGCCAGCCTGTGGTGGTGGGCGGGGGTGCACGGCGCATGCCCAGCCTGCTCGGCCGAGAGATGCTGTAATTGGCACCTGTCAGACGGCTGCAGCTCATTTTAGAAAGTCAACAGGGGCCTTTGCAGTCCCTCTGCTAGCAAGCGCTGAGGACCCTCCCTCTGGAAGTTACGGGGTCTCAATGCTAGCCCCCACCCCAGCCCAGCTCTCCCCCCACAAACTCAGCCCCTACAGCCACCTGCTGAGGGGATGGTGACCCTCCCCCAGAGGGGGCAAGGACCCTCTCACTGGTGCCAAAGGAACTCCATGCAGGGGATGGGCGGCCCCGTGCGGGGGGGCCCAAGGCTCCTGGGAAGGGCTGCCTAGGCCTCCCTGGGTTCACACAAGCCCATCCTTGAAAGCAGAGGTGTGCAGCCTGCTCTTTCTCACTGGGACTTAATCTCCTTCATTGATAATTGGTTTCTAAGAATGTGGGGAAGTTTGGTTTGGGTTTTGGAATTTGGGTTTATCAAATGTAGGGATGGTGGGTGGAGTGGCCAGGGGCAGGTGGGAGTCACAGGCCTCCTGGGGGAGGGGTCCATACCCCCTGTCCATCTGTCCCTGTGTCTCTCCATCTCTCCCCGTCTCTGATTCTGAGATGCCCCTATCACCTAGACTCTGGCCCTCTCCTGCCTGCAGAGCTGTCTGACCCCACTCCACCATTTTCTAGCCCTGACGTGACCGCGGTGGGGGGGATCCCTTTCTGCAGGATGACCCTGAGAGTGAGGATGTGGAGAGGGGGTCCAAGGTCAGCACCCTCAGGCTGGACTTCGTTGAGGACTCAAACTTCAAGAACAAAGTCAACTATTCGTACACGGCCGTGCAGATCCCCACGGACATCTACAAAGGCTGTGAGTGTGCAGAGCGATCAGAAACTGCCCTCCGCAGCCAGCACGGGAGCAAGGCCCATGGCCTGGGCACTGCCAGGTCCTGAGTGCTCAGCCAGTGCCGTCTGCCATCAGCCCCTGCTACCCACGTCCACACGCAGGCGTCAAGTCATTCTCAGGCATGGCCTCACGCTAACGCTCAGACTCTCACCGCTGTGCACGCACAGTCTCCTGCCCCTGTGGACACATGTGTCCCACGTGCCCCCAGAGCAGCTTCTCCCCGCCGTCCCCCATTCCCAGGCCCCGTGTAGGAATGGTTGAGGAGCTACCACATCAGATGAACACAGGGGCTGGGGGAACAGGGAGCAGTCCCTCACTCACGGACGCCAGCCCTGGAGCATCTCCCTCCTTGTCCAGGGACAGGGCAGCTTTGCACAGTGGGGAAACCAAGTCACTACAGCTGGAAGGATTTGAGTCAGACATGAGAAGGAACTTCCTGAAGATCTTGGGAGGTGTAGGGGGAAGAGACCGAGTCAAGCACTACAGAGAAAGCTCTAGCAGCGGGCTTCAGGGCCCTGGGGTCTGGTGGTTTGGGCATAATTCTGTGAGCATGTACAAGGCAACCTCAGACTCCAAGGGGCCCCCTGGGTGGAGGGTCTTGGAACACAGGTCCCAGAGTTTCTGGGTAGTCTCCAGAATGCAGGGAATCCTGCAGGGGCCTCAGGAAGGCCCCCCTCCACCCTTCGGGTCAGCCAGGACTTCTAGGCAGCCTCAGGCAGGGGTGAGGATAGGTGCTGCCCCCACCCCTGCCGTCCCTGCCACAGGCCTCCCTCAGGCCACCTGCCGGAGCCAGTCGAGGAGCACTATCACAGGCAGGCACGCTAATTAAAACAGGAGCCATACCGCCCTCCCCAGTCACCCCTCGCTACCCACACAAATTACATTTTATATGTTTTTTATTTACTGTGTCACTTTTAATTAAATCTGTAATCGCCTGCCTGAGGGGGCATGGTCCCCGTTTCCCAGCTCAGCGTGATCTGAGTGTGCACGTGGGTGTGGGTGTGTGCACATGGGGCTGAGTAGCAGGCCCTCTCCAGGCGGGGAGGCCGGAGTGTGTCTCACAGTGAATGCAGGTGTGTGCATGTGGTCATGGATACCCACGGGGACAGCCCCGCTGAGGCGGGGGTCTGCTCTTGGCTCTTGACCTGAGTCAGAAATGCCCCTGTGCCAGCAGCGAGAGGGGCTTCCAGGACAGTCGGCCCTAAGCCTCTCCTTGGGAGGATGGGGAAACTGAGGCCCAGCAACGGTTGGGACTCGCCAGGCAGACTCTCCCAGGGCAGGCAGTACCGTATGAAACATTTGAGAACCGGCTTTATTTTTTTCGTTAAAGAGAAAAATAGAAATTGTTCAAGTCACTAAGTTTCTAAATTAGGAACGGGACCATAACATACTGTTCAATAGGCACAGCCAATGATAGAAATGTGTTTTTGTTTTCACATTATGGTCAGTTAAGGGGAGCTACAAGGACAGAGAGAAGGGAGTGGGAGCAGAGGGAGAGAGATTAGGCAGCAGACACGATGCAGCAAAGGCCCCACACTGCAGGGCGGAGGGCGAGAGCAGAGGGCCCCGTGCCCAGGGATGTGTCCGCGCCCCCTGGGCGATGGGCAGAACCTTACGCATTTGTCTCTTTAAATCACAGCTCTTCGCCTGCTTTAAAGGTTTCAGTGTTCAGAGGCCCTGCTCCAAAGAGCCGAGCCTTTGGAAGGCATTCTCTGAGCCTTACTTGGGGTGGATCTGTGATAGGGATCTATCAGGGCTCCGCCTGGGAAGAAAGGCAAGTGGGAGAAACTGGAGGAAAAAAATAGTCCCTGGGGGAGGGGGTTTCGGTACAGAGTCCCAGCAGTAGTAGGTGGCCAGCCCCTGGCGGGTTTCTCTGAGGGTCCTATACGCAGAGACAGATTCGCTGCACGTGAGAGAGCACGTGCGCACACACATATCGGCCAGATTTAGGGCTGTCCTGAGTTGGGGGATGGGGGTGCTGCCCAGGCCATCCTGAGTCTCCGCCCTGGTTGAGCGATCTGCAGGACCGAGCGCATTCGTCTGAGAGAAGCCTCGCTCTGTGAGTGTGTGTCGGGGTGGGTCCGGCCAGGGGATCACACGTGTGCCGCCACAGAGGTCAGGGGAAAGGGGGGGTGGGGGTAACTTGCTCTTGTGAGAGCAAGACCCACTGCTGTCCTCCCATGGGTGCAGCGTGCTGTGGAGGTGTGAGCATGCGTGCCCCCGTGCCCATGGCAGCAGGCGGGCTGCTGGGCAGGTAGGTTCAAGGACGAGGGACTCTTAACACCTGGCTGGAAACACGGAGGTCCAGTGCAGAGACACGTGTCAGGGAGTATACAGGCTGTATGCGTGTGCGTGCATGTGTGTGCAAGTGCCTGTGTTGGAGCAGGATCGTGGCACAGCCCCTGCCCCTCCAAGAGCCTCCGCCCCCGCCCCGGCCTGCTCCTGGCCCCAGCTGATTAATCATGGAGCTGAGTGGCTTCCAGCTTATCAGGTACCTTAATAGCTGAATAATTCCTGCCCCATCATTGGGCCCTTAATTGCTTTCTTGTGGCTGCAGCCTGGAGTGCATGCTGAGTGGGTGAGCTCCCAAGGGACCAGCTGCAAGCTCCAGGCAGCATGCTGGATGGGCATCCCAATTTACAACTCCCTGCCACCTGGACAGCCCGTCTCAGGGGCCACAGGCCACGGCTGCCCTGCCTGATCCCGTGGGGCCTGGCCGAAGGGTAGGCTAAGCTGGCTTGGGAGGGGTTGAGGACCTGGAAGTCTTCCTGGAGGAGCTGATGCAGCCCTCAGCTGAGCCCTGAGGAAGGAGAGCCCCGCCAGGCAGAGAGCAGGTGAAGCTCGCTAAGTGCAGGGTACATGAATGGGCGTCGTGGTGAGGTTCAACAGGGGGACAGCCCGGGCACTTTTCACCCCCGCCCCCTGTCTCCCCCACAGCCACTGTCATCCTTAATGAACTCAACTGGACAGAGGCCCTGGAGAATGTGTTCATCGAGAATCGCAGGCAGGACCCCACGCTGCTGTGGCAGGTCTTTGGAAGTGCCACGGGCGTCACTCGCTACTATCCCGGTGGGTGTCAGCCCATCTCTCCTGTCCACTCAGCACCCACCCTCCTCCGTCAGCCAGCCCACTTATCCTGGGGCATGTGGGGTGGTTGCTCACCCTGTGGGCTGTGGAGTAGCCACTCCTGCCAGGCCAGCCGGCCCTGGCCAGGCCCTTCCCTACCAGACCCCCTCCTCGCCTTCTCTCCTCCCGCAGCCACCCCATGGCGAGCCCCCAAGAAAATCGACCTGTACGATGTCCGAAGGAGACCCTGGTGAGTGAGCAAGGAGGAGCTGGGCAGGGACACCCCCTCTATCCCCCTGACCTCTGCCGCCCGCTCCCCTCCCTCCCGATATCCAGGACTCGGAGCAGGGCGCAGCCAGCTCTATCCAATTTTCATTTCACACATCGTTGCCACTGGAAAATGGATCCCATCACCCAGGCAGGCCTCCCAGCTGCCTCTGCCCCCCGTCCACTGCCCGGCACTCCACCCCCTCGGGACTGAGGGATTGGGCCAGTGGGGTTCCCGAGGGTGGATATATCCTCTGTCAGGTCGCCAGCCCCCGCACCCCCCATCTGAGCCCTGAACACCCCACCCTCTGCTCTGCCTCTCCTGCGGTACCCCATGACCTCCTCCCTCCCTGTTCCATCCCACACACAGCTAGGACTCAGACCTTGGAGCCTTGTCCCAGGCCAGGGGACATGACAAGCACTGGGGCCCGGGAACATACCTCCTGCCCCCTCTCTGGATCACCTGTTCAGCCCTCCTTGGGCTCGTTCATGTGCTGGGGGACCAGGTCACTCATGTAACGGGCAAGGACGGTTTTAGTTTCATTTTTTTTTAAGACTTTATTTATTTGAGAGAGACAAAGAGAGCACACGCGGCAGGGGGAGGGAGGCAGAGGGAGAGACAAGCTGACTCTGCACTGAGAGGGGACACTGTGACGCGGGGCTTGATCCCAGGACCCCGAGATCATGACCCGAGCCGTAGTCAGACGCTTAACTGACTGAGCCACCCAGGCACCCCAGGACCGTTTGTTTTTTTTTTTTAAAGATTTTATTTATTTATTTGAGAGAGAGAATGAGAGAGAGAGAGAGCACATGAGAGGGGGGAGGGTCAGAGG